TTTTTGATTAAACATTTTAAGATATCAAAAAAAACGTAATCTTTGCCACTCAGTACAAAATCATTCAATCAAACTATTGTCAAATTAATTACATATTATTAATTATTATTAAATTTTTAGTATTAGTATTAATAATATTACGTCATGACTTTTTGTAAAAAAAAAATAATTCGCGTGATTAGTAATGTTGATATTTTATTATAAATATCCTCAATTTCCAGTTGATTTGGTAGCAATACATAAATTATATTTCATAATTCTTTATACCTTTGTTTCTTTTATTTGTTTTATTTCTATTCATTTGTTTCTTTTATTTTAATAAATAAAATGTCAACTCGAAAAAGAACAAGTCTTTCTGCTGCCCAAAAACGTGAACTTTGTGAGGCGAAAAAAAATAATCCAAGTTTAAGCAACGTAGAACTTGCCAGACAATACAATATTGGGAAAGCAACAGTGACTGATATCTTAAGTGAGAAAGAACGTTGGCTTGCTATTACAATTGAACAAGATAATTTGAAAAAATTTCGTGGACCTAAGTGGCCACTACTTGAAAGAGCTCTTAATATTTGGGTTGATAATGCACTTAATGCACAACAAGACATTACTGGCAATATTTTAAAAGAGAAAGCAAACCATTTTGCAACCCAATTTTCAATCAATGATTTTAATTCATCAGATGGGTGGTTGACAGGCTTTAAAAATCGTCATGGACTTCGTCAATTCAGAAAGCAAGGTGAATCTGCAAGTGCACCATCTGTTGAACAATTAGAAAATGAACAGATTTCATTGCAGACACTTCTTGGTGCTTATAGTCCTGAAAATATTTGGAATGGTGATGAAACTGGCCTCTTTTGGAAGATGGAACCTTCACGTGTTTTGGCTCATGCTAAACTATCAGGTCACAAAAAAGATAAATCTCGAGTTTCAATTTTTTGTGCTGCAAATTCTCTGTGAACAGAGAAGATGAAGCTTAGTTTCATTCACAAACATCGGAGACCTCGAGCAATGAAAAAATTAAATTACAATAACTTGCCTGTTTATTACTATTGGAATAAAACAGCTTGGATGCAAGTTAGCATTTTTAACGAAATTCTCCTTACACTTAACAACAATATGAAAAAACAAAATAGAAATATTCTATTGCTAATTGACAATGCACCAGTGCATATTATTCTTGAAGAAATTGCAGAAAAATTGGATAATGTAAAGGTTGAATTTCTTCCACCAAATACTACAACTTTTCTTCAACCTTGTGACGCTGGGATCATCCATTCCTTTAAATGTAAATATAGAGCTCTATTTGTTCAAAATCGAATTAAAGCATATGATGACTTTCAAGATGGTACCACAGATAAACTTGCTGATTATGTATATAATGCTTTAATAAATGCAGCAGAAGCATGGTCTAATGTATCACAACAAACAATACATAATTGCTGGTTAAAAACTGGCATTCTTCCAGAAAGAACAATCACTGAACCTTTCAGTATTAATGACGAGGATGAGGAGAAAGATTTGGAAATGCTTCTTGAAAAGTTACCAAATAGTAACAATCTTTCAGCAAATGAATACATTCATGTTGAGGATGAGAATGTTTGGACAGACCTCACTGATGAGGATATAATAGAAATGGTAAACCAGGAGGAACAGAGTAGCAAAGAGGAAGTTGAATCAATGGAAGAAATCGAGATAATAAGTAATAAAGTAGCTAAAGAGTCAGTAGATACTGTTTTAAAGTATTTGTATCAGCAAGGACCAGAATTTGGTGAGGTTGGTGAAGAAGTAAAGATTTTGAGAGGATTAAATAGACGGATTGGGTTAGTTATTCAAAAAAATCTTAAACAAACTGACTTAAATCACTATTTTGAGGATAAAATGATTGAGTAGCTTTGGCAGTTTATTTTTATTTGAATATAATATTGTGTTTGGGTTCAAATATTCATATGCTATCAATCTTCTGGATAGATTGATAGTATTTTTATTTATATTTATATCTACATTTATTTATATTTAATAGTTATATTTATATCTACATTTTATTTATATTTGATAGTAAAGTCTGTTTGTAAAAGAATGTTTTATAACTTCATATTTAAAAATAATTCTTATAAATAAGCTTTCTGATCAATAAATATAATAAACGGCTATTGAATTAAATTATTTATTATATATGTTACCATCACGTGACACATCTAGCTGGCTATAACGAACTCTGGCTATAACGAACAAAAATTCTCAGAACAGGGGGTTCGGTATAAACAGAGTCAACTGTATATTAATATTCAAATGAATATTCGGTACTACATACCAAATCAGCAATGATCATGATCAACAACAACAATGCACAATGTTAATATTAAATAAAACGAATAAAACTAGTAATTCGAATAAAACGAATAAAACAACGAATAACTTGAATAAATCGAGTAATTCGAATAAAATGAATAAAACGAATAAAGCGAATAAATAAACAGCGAATAAACGAGTAATTCGAATAAAACAAAAAAAGAAGAAGGAATAATTCGAATAATAATTTGTATTGTGAATGGAACCTCTACTATTATAAACAAGACCCGAAATATTAATATAAAATTTTAATTAAACGGCTGATTGATTGTCCTTTCACTTGATCAAAAAAGTGACGTTAATATTCTCTTTTAAAATCAATTTATATGAAATAAACAATATAAATTCGAATATAAAAGTTAGGTCACATGCCCGAAACACGATTGGGCGGCCATATATTTTAGTATTTCTAATTTGATATGTTGTACCGAATATTCATTGAATATTCACGATCTACATAAATGAAATGTTCGAATAGCCCCCATATATTGTTGATATTGGGAAAAATGGAAAGAGATCTACATTTCAAGAGTTTACTATTGTTTTTGAAACTTTAAAAAACAATCAAAATATTACTATGCAAAATGCCTAATGAGTTATATTGTCTCTGAAATAACCCTAACCCAAATTAATATGAAAACTTTGAAACAGCTAAAAGCCCCGTTCTTTATTTGATCAAGTAGAAATATTAATATGATTATCTTATAGTAAAAAGGGTCTCTACTATATATTAATATATTAATATATATATATAATAATAGCTTTTGAAAACTCTTACCACGCCACCCCGAGTTTTCAGTGTATCCCAAAGTAATGCCTAGTGTTCGAAACTCAATAGGCGGGTTCTAGACGAGCTAACCAAATATGGATATTAACCGCAAATAATTTTTTAAAATTAGACTAGTTCTACGTTAAGGCGTAGTCGAAATTTCAAACACTCATTTATTTGATAAATTTCTACATATACGGCGATACATTGGGCTATTCGATTTGTGTTACACAGTCGGTTACACTATATATTCAATTGAAAATAACCTAATTTGGAAGGAAGGTATGTAATTAACATTACTTCGGATCATTCCTCTCTTGCTTGACCTTAGTATATAGTGAAACAAAGTAAGTGAACTGGAGGATTACATTCTGTCAAAATTGGCGTTATATTCTGTGTAACATAAATAATAGAAAATTGTCATTGGTGATGGGTATTGAGCGGTAGTACAATTGCTTAAAGCAATTAATGCTTGTCGATAAAGGAAAAATGCGTGATAGGTATCTTAGACAACGTAGAGTATTGTTTATAATAATGAGAATGCATTTGCTAAGGCTTTTTGTAATATTCCAGATGTTTGGAACTTTTAAGAGATCTAAGGCTAGCTACAAAACGATTATATGCACAAAAGAACCCATTGCGTCTCAATCCATATGCTAAAATATTAAGAGCTGAACTTATACGTGCTGAGCTGATAAAATACAAAGAAGTAAGCATCAATTAAAGGCTACTACCAAAGGCATAAAAAAAAGTACGTTTTTTTATTTTTTTTAAATAATAATAATAATAATAACTTATTTATTAAAGAAAAAAATTTATGATCTTTATGTAAACTTTATTTGCTTATTATAAATGACATCTTTTTTTTTATAAAAAAAAAAGAAGAAAAAATCATGTAATTTCATATCTTACAAAAAAAAAAATAATATATTTATTAAAAACTCGAGTTTTTTTTTCATATATAAATGTTTAATTCATTAAAGTGATTGATTGATTGTTATATGAGAGTGATGATAATGATGAATAAAAAAATCTTAGAAATGTATGCGCACACAAAAAAAAAAAAAAAAACATATGTAAATGTAAAAAATTAATGCAAAAATATTTCATAAATGTAAAAATTAAAACATAATTGAGTTTGTGATTGCGATTTTGTAAAATGTAAAGATATTTAAATGTGTGTTCTATATTAAATAATATAAATCTATCTAAGTAAAACAAAAATAAATAAATATATAACATAATTTTTATTATTATTATTATTATTATTATTATTATTATTATTATTATTATTATTATTATTATTATTAAATTTAACCAAAATAATAAAAAGAGAAGGGATTTTTTTTACAAAAGTTGAAATTGATTTGTCTATAAACATATCCACATCACACCTTATCAACCATCCATCTATCATTTAACAATGAAATTAATTTACAAAAAGAAATGATTATGTTCTTAAAACACTGGTTGTGGTGCAATTGATTTTCTTCTCATTATCGGAAACGAAGGTGGTGGGATAAAAATCTCATCTTCTGCTTCATTATCAGTTTCTGGTTCTGAAAGTTCTGGTGGTGGGAAGTTAGTATCATATTCTTCAAAGGCCAAATTCACTTGATCTAAAAAGTTACTGTTATTAATGCTGAAAAATGGTGGCGATGATGATATTGGTTCGTCCTTCTCCTCTGATGGATCAGAAATTGCTATGGAATTGGTGGGTGCAGGTAGATTTGGAAATAATAAAAAGTCGCTTGTGTAGATAGCGAATGGATGTGTATCCGGTGCAACTGGATATCTTACGTTTGTAATGTGTGAGTTTAATATTTCATCGAATGAATTAAGATCATTAATATCCTCTAAACCATTCAACGAATCCTCGTCTAAGCCAAGAAGTCGTCGATGATAAGCATAGGGTGTTGTTAGAATGTCAACCAATTCTTCTGCATCGGGTCTATTCTGTGGATTAGCATCCCAACACCTTTTCATTAATTGTTCATAGAAAAATGGAGTTCCTGGTATGATTGATTCTCGAAATCCATGACAAATTTCTAAAGCAAGCGAGTGATCGTGAGGACGATCCGAAAATGGTGGTCTTCCAGAAGAAAGCTCCCACATAATGAATGCAAAACTATAAATATCAGCTTTAGCTGTGAAAGATTCACCGGCTAATACTTCAGGAGCAACTAAAGGTAGAGAACCGTATACACCTTTTGGGTTAGATGTTCCTGATGGTCCACTTAAACCAAAATCGGCGATATTGAAAATAGAGTATTTTAGGATGTTTCCACAATGAAGATTCTTGTGAAATGTTGCATTCTTATGAATATCCAAGAGACCCATGGCAATATTACTTAATATTTCTACAACATCCTTCCATTTCAGAGTTCCCATGTTTCTTCTTATATAATTTCTTAGGTTTCCTTCATCAGCAAAATTCATAACCATCATAAATTCATTTGTTTCTGGATTCTTGGTTATGCCGTGGCAATGAACAAGATAACGACAACCATCTAATTTAAGACTTCCATGTCGTTTAATCTAGAATCAAACAGAATGTATAGAATATGAGAATATGTAGAATATAATTATTCATTATAATTATTCAATTGATTAATTGATTAATTAAATTTACCTCGTCTAAAAAATCTTCGCTAAGATCTTGTGAGTTTTTTAAAGATTTCAATGCAACCACAAGTGGCTTCTCTATGAATTTTTTTTTATATTCACACCAAACTTGATCAGTTTTATCCAACCAAATTGCTGAAAATACAGTACTGAATCCACCTTTCTCCAAGAACTTTACTTCACTGAAATTCTCAAAAGGTATCCATTTTAAATGATAATCTTGATCTCTAAATATATTTATGTTTATGTAATAATAATGTACTTGATGTTAATGCTAATTAATTTATATGAAACTAAATAGCATAAAATATATAATATACTTACGGATTTTCTAGTTGTGTTTGTTGAATGAAATTGTCCAATTTATCGTTGCCGCTTGTCCAATTACCAAATTCTTCAATGAGTCGAAGACCTTCTTCCCATTTCCAATCGTCATTTTCAAACTGATCATTAAAATCAATGCTTGTGGGTGTAGTTACTGTGAATGTGTTAATACTGGTGTTGGCAAGAGTAGTGGGTGTGAAATAGTCAGATTGAGTATCAAGCATTTTGTTGAATAAGTTGTTCGTAAATATGAAAATTTTCAATAATAACGTTTATAATTTATTTAATTTAAAAATAATAATTTTAAAAAAATAAATGTTATTGAAAAATAAATGTTATTGAAAAAATTAGAAAATAAGTCAAAATATTTTTTTTGTTTGAAATAAGATTCAAAACTCCTACATTTATATACTATATTATTATACACATCATCCTCTGATAATGGACACAAATAGTTACACTAAACGAGAATAAAAACAATAGAAAATATCAATTGAAAGAACAATGGCAAAATTTTTGAATGTATCCACGTGTTGTAATATTATGATTCATTTATGGTAATTGAAAGAATCTTTTCTCGCAATTCGACATTGAATTTTGAAGGTTGTCAAATGTAAAAAAAAATCTTTGTTACTTAAATAATATAATTTTAATACAATTGGTAAAACCCTAAATATACACATAACATATATACAATTACATCACATGATTGTCAATTAAAGGAATGGATCAATGACAGGATAAATATAGATTCTTTTTAAAAATAAAGGTATTAGAAAAAAAAATCGATTTTAAAATAATTAATTGGTAATGGTTCCTTTTTGATTACATAGTCTAAATGGAAAAATTTACATGGTAACACGAGCGATTTCAAGTTTTTTTTTAATTCTTTCAAGTTTTTTCTTGCATTTAATACTTACTAAAAAATAATGATGTATGATGTATGCATGTAACTATATCAAAAAAACATCAACTAAATGAATTAAAATCTTATTTAAAATTAAAAAGATAAATAAAATGGTGATATGTGGGCAATCCCCATTTTCTCATTTATTGTTTTCTCTTTTTCGCTTTTTTAAATTCAAAAATATCTTACATTCTTTTAAAACACGCGCCTTTATAAATATATATGCAAAATATATATGCATAAATTATATTAAATTTATGTAATAACATCACCATTTCACCATGAATAATAAGCCACAACACAAGCCACTCATATAAGAGTATAGGTCTGTAGAATGTGGCTAGTTTTCGGGTTACACTAACAGAATATTTTGAAAATTTTATGGGAAAAGATCGTTATTTCATTTCAATCAAGACTTGTTTGGATTGTTGCTGGTATTAACGATAAATTTGGTGGGGGCATGGCTACTGTTACAATTGCATTAACCTAAAAAAATTTGCCCGAGACTTCTTTGTAAAGTTCCATTAATATATTTTTTATAATAAATAATTATATATTATTTAAAAAAAAAAAGCATCAAAACTTGAGAAACAATTTTTTTTTAGCATTAATTTGCCATTCAATATTAATATAATATTAGTTTTTGCTTAAAATAAAGTATTGGAATAGAAATATTTCTATGATATAATTTTTTCTCTCTTAAGAAAAAATACATTCCTCGCTGTGCTACTCAATAATAGCTGTAGTATCACCATCATTTTATGGGATTTTTATTCTCTAATAAAGAGACCAATTGAATCAATCGGAAAAATCATATGTGAGATAAAAAAATTTTTAATTTCAAGCAAAAGTTTTCAATTTATTTTTTTACAAATAATAAAAATGTAAAAAAAAATATAATAATAAAGAAATATTTCAAGCGGAAACTTGCTCTTGATATTTACGAAGAGATTGTTGGAGATTTGAAGCTGCTTTTGCACAAGCTTTACAATGATCCGACGAGTGCTATTATTTTCAATTAATTAAGGTTTTTTATCAAGAATAATGATGTCAAAAGTAGAAATGTTACCTGTTTACTATTTTTTAAAAAAATGAAAAATTATCATCATCATCATCGTCATCATCATCATCATCACTATAATAATTATAATTAGGAAAGATATTTACCAGACTTCAGCGCATGTATTAGCGGAACTAAGAGTTAGATCGATAATAGAGTTAAGTTGAGGCGCACCCAATGACAAAAATTTTCCAGTTAATGTAGCAAGTTCTTTTATTTACATATCAGAGATGTCAGTATAGCGTGAACAAAATATATAATTAAAGGAAATTATCTTTTTACCTGCGTTGATGCGGCATTGTTTACTACATTTTTCATGTTGAGCATTGTCAGCACAGTTCTTTACATTCCAAGAAAGATTTCAAGATTAATATTAACGAACTATATTATTAATGTAATTTCACCATTCACGTAAACAATCATACATACCGTACACGCTGCTGCACTTTCATTACTTTAAATGAGACAAAAAAACTATCAGAATTATCATATAATTTATTACAAGTAAAAGAATGATTTATTTACCAAGATTGGATAACATCATTTGCTACTGCTTTTTCTTGACTGGCCATCTTGTTGAATGAATTCGTTTTTTTTTTTTAGAAACTGAAAATTGATCACTTTATATGTGTATATATAAATATTAATAACAATTACATAAAAAATACATCATTGATTTTTAGTTTTGAAATTTAAAAATGAGATTATCCTTATAATGGTTGGTTTCCATATATATATATGATGTAAATTATATAATACATGAGTAAAAAATTCAAAAGCCTGCTAATATAAACAGCATCTGGATGATTCGATGAGAATCCGTCTTGCATATAAAATCATATGATGTTACTAACGTTAATGTCCCAAGCTATAACATTAAATTTATACACTAATTATTTTTTTTTTATACGATGATGATTGACAATCCTATTGATATTATTAAATATTTAATGCTGATCAAAGATTATTTGAATGCATGGGAAAACTTTATATTTAATTAGTTAGTAATCAATCATACACAATATATAGTGAATAATATAGTCCAGTATAAAATTCAAAAAAGCAATATTAACGCATTCACTAACTATATACTACTAGTATAATCTAAAATCCACAATAACAAAATTCAAAATCATTATGAGCAAAGAAATGAATACGAATAATTGAGAAATCAATTGTCCAAATCTAGAAGAATCCTATGTTAAAATCACATTAGCTCAAGTTTTTTGGAAGGAAAATATATTTAATGTCGATAAAGCAATAGCGGTTTCTAAACGAGTAATTACCAAAAAAAAATTTAAAAAAATTAATTATTGGTAGTGACGTTACTTATCTGAAAATTACTGGAAGACTTGAACCTTTGTTATGAGATTATTAACAGATTATGGTTGATGATGGCCAATAAATACTATTGTAGGTGGATGAATGACGTAACATTTTATAAATTTTAATTCATTTTAAAAAATACTTCAAAAAATTTTTTTTTGAGAATTTCATTTGAGGCAGACACTTTGAAAACTCTGGGTAGAAGTGCTTTGGTATTTTCTTCAACAAATTGGAGAATGATATTATATTCAGAGGAAATATTGAAAATATATATTTTGGTGATAAAAATTTAAAAAACCGTCTTCAAAGGTAATTCTTTAGATATTCTGTCTGATGAAGAGTTGTATGTATGTATGCCTTTTAATTAATTAGAAGATAGAAAATAGATGATTTAATAAAGAAATATCAAAATTTAGGATTTCCGGGCGCATGATTCTAATTTCCATAATCAATTGGAAATGAATCCTTTGTTACAATTATTAATTAATTATTAGTTCAATGATTTTTAATAAAAATAAATGATTTCCACTTATTCTTACCATAATGAACATGTTACATATGACCTTTATCTATCTATCTATGTTTTTCCCTTCGAAAAGATGATCGATCTTACTTTTTTCTCATATAACTTGAACCATAATTATCTGTGTGATCCTGTTGTTGCATCTTTCATAAAGATAAGCAGCATCTACATAATACAGCTCGCATGTGCTTTTATGACACTGATAATGATTTGAATGAACCGCCGTCGTCATCAAACACACAATTCTAATTATACATTGGATATAAACCATCGTAACAACAATTAAATTGAGATCTATGTGTATTGCGCGTAGCGTGATGGAGATTTGATCATTGGAGGCGATGCAGTTAACGAATACCAAAAACAGATATCAGTTCTGATTTAGATAATGAATGATAATATATATATATATACACGCAAACTTGATTAACCCAATGACAAAAGATTAAAATAAACAATGGAGATTATTCTCAACAACTAAAATAGAAATAATTACGATAGCAATATCACCAATTTATTCCTGTTGAGGAAACTGTCGAGGAAACGGATAAATGGCAATCAATAACAAACAAAACATCCAATCCAATCACAGATCGAGTTAGACAATGTTTGCAAATATGGAAGGTGTTCAATATATGTATAATTTTGATTTTTAATTAAACCAAATTTGATTTCTAATAAAAGTATTTTGAAAATTGCAAAGCCACCTAACATTTTATTCTACATGGATGATGGCTGTGTTCAATCAATCTTTTGCTTTTAGAAATAATTAGAAGTTTTTTCCACCACGGGAAAAAAATTTTTTTAATGATAAATACTTGCTCAAAAAATAAAAAAAAAATAAAAAAAAATTTAAAAAAAATAAAATAATAAAAATAATAAAAATAATAAAAATAATAAAACATAAATTTTGTTAAAAATGATGAATTCAATCAATAATAATACTAACACCAGTAATGATGTTAATAAACAACAACATTCACAAATTAATAATAATATTGTCATCATTAAGAATAGGTCATCAAGAGCATATTCCTCTTCATCTTTTCCTTCTTCTAAATCAAAAAAATTCAATCATTCGCATAAAAAATCTTTATCAACAAATACAAATATAACTTCTTCAAAGATTCAGCATGCTACGCAATTAAGTAACAATAACAACTATCACAATAAAATTATTATTAATAAGATGCAAAATGAAGACGAAGAAGAGCTCGGAGCCCCGGTGAATATTTATCACGAACATCGAAGTCATTTGGAACAAGATAAAAAAGCTCGTATAGAATTAGATACTCATATGTTAAAAGATGAGTTATATGATCCAATTTCTACGTCTGATTTAAATACGACTAATGCTACCATTAATAATATGAATAGTAATAATATGTTGTGGGGGTATTATAAGAATGATTTATTCTATTTAAAGAATGATAACATTAACGGAGTATCATGTTTATGAATTTTCAAATAATAGTAAGATTATGATGAGGATTGATGGGAAGGAAGGAAGGAAGTGGATTGTGTCAGGATTTTATGACAAGGAAAAAATTCTCATTCTGTAAATTTATTTTAATCTTTTGTAAATAAATTTTCTTAGAAAAATTAATATATGAAATTGTATAATATAAATATATAACAATATTTTTTATTTGAATAAAAATTAATCTTTAACCATTACATGTATCAGATAGAGAGACCCCGAAAACTATATAGATAGGTTATAATATGTGTGTGGTGCGCGCGCGCGCGTGTGAGTGACTTGACACTCATATCTACAGAGAAACTTAATTGGAAGCATTTTAAATTTTGCCTTTCCGCTAATATTATTAATAGACTTGATTTTCAGTGGCAAGAAGTAATATATTGATACATAATAATAACCTATCCGTATATGAAAGTTTCCGAGGTCCGGTTCGTGAGAATCAAAAGGTTTCGAATGGGACTACTAAACAGCAAAAAAAAAAATTCTTTGTTTTTTGTTCGCGTAAAATCTACTCGATTCCACATGGAATTAATTAATATTAATCAATCAAATAATTGTTTCATTAATTAATTGGTTACCTTATTAATTGTATGTTCTGGATGGCATGTCGTCATCAATCAACAATATCAAATATGATATTCAAGTACGCGTGATTTTCAAAAAAAAAACCAATTAAACGATATTCAAACAAAAATGGGAAAAGTCAAAGTGGAAAAGATTACTTTCTTCTTCTTTTTCTTTCGTTTTTTTTATCACGAGTGACAATAATTCAAGTTATAAAAGGTGAAAAAAAAAAAAATGGTTTAAGGAAGTAATGATAACTTTACTACCATCGTACAAAAATTTTAAGGCTTGAGTGATTATACGGTCGATACAATTAACATTAAATCATATTGACTAAAAAAATCATTCAAACCCTTAAAATTTTCGTACGATTGTAGTAAAGTTATCATTACTTCTTTAAATCTTTTTTTTTTTCACCTTTGAAAATTGAATATTGATATAACTCCATTGTATTATAACGAGAGAAAGAGAGAATAAATAATCTTTTCCTTTGATGTTCAAAACGAGTAAGTGTTTGTGAGATAATTAGAGTGAGTGTGTGTGTGTGAAAAATATGATGAGATTAATGGTGTAAAATCTAAATAATTTTCGAAAAAAAAATCAACTTTATTCATATAGTTAATTATAATAAAAAATAAAAATAAAAAAAATGTCTATATAATTTAATTAATTGCTTGAAAAGTATCAAGATTAAAAAAATTATCCACGTTATAATGTGTGTGGTGTTGAAGTTACCACCAGTATGTGTAAGTTCTCCTAATTGCTATGTTCACGAGTAAGTTATAGTTCGATGTCCTTCGCCATGTCTTGGAACGATTTTGCATCTTCCAGCAAAAAGTCAAAGTCTTTTTTGTTGAGTTTGTAAATAATATGGGCACTTAAGCTAGATGTGTGGTAGATTTGGTCCATGCCAACTTGCTGAAACAGCTGAAAAATTCTATCAGCTGCCTTATAATCGTACCTAGCGTTCTTACGTTTCCTTTCTTTTGCAAACAAATTCCAAGTTTGCTTTGGGTCGATAGACTTCTTGAGTTCTTCGCCTAAAAAATAATAGGCTACCAACAGGTGGATTCTTTTTGTACGAATTCTACTGAAAGACTCTATTTTGTTTAATAAATTATCTAGTTTTTTGTCGTACTCTTCACCTTCGTCATAAGGTCGAGTTATTTCTTTGATTATTAGTTTGTTTCGTTGGATCATTTCATAACGAATGTTGTCCAATTTTTCGTTGTTGTTGTTGCTGCTGCTGCTGCTGCTGTCGCTATCGTTGTCGTTGTTGTCGTTGTTGTTGTCGTTGTCGTTGTCGTTGTTGTCGTTGTTGTTGCTGTTGTTGTTGTTGTCGTTGTCGTTGTCGTTGTCGTTGTTGTTGTCGCTATTGTTGCTGTTGTTGTCGACGTCGTTATAGATGTCGTTGTTGCTGCTGTTGACAAAGCAGTCATTATTAATGCTGCTGTTATTAAAAAAGAAGCTCTCGTCAATATCAATACCAATACCAATATCAATCTGATTGTAAAGGTTGTCATTATTATTATTAATCATATGGTAAATGTTGGTCGTATGATAAAGGTTAAAGTACTCGTTATTAAAATCATTCATTTTTAAAAATAATTTTTTTTCGATTTATATTTAAAATTTTTTTTTTTTAAAATTTTTTTATCAAACTTTTTTTCAACCAATATTTTTGAGCGACATTTTATATAATGATTTTTATTATAAAACGCAGCAGAATATTTTTTTTATCGAATTCGAATTTCGAAATTTGCCACTTCTTGTCAATCTCGGAATTTCTAATTTCTATTACACAAAGTTTTTTCTAAAGTGCACCAATGAAAACTAACGTTTTTTTAGTGTGTGAGCATACGGCATGACTAATTATTATTATTATTATTGTTTACTTGGAATCATAAGATGACCTACATTGGTTACACACGCACTGAAATTTGGATTATACTCTTCACTCAAAACTTACTATTACATTAATGGTAAATGTTCTTTTTTTTTTTTTAATAGAAGCTTGAGCGATATATATATATATATATATATATGCAAGCACTCACCGGACTTGCTCCGCCAGAAGTTCTGCTTATCCTTATAAGTTCTGCAAAATCTCTGGGCTTGAAGGTTTTGATGACTTTGTCAAAACCGAGAATATGGTGGCGCAAGCATATTTGTATAGACCCCCTTTTTGACATTTATCATGAGATTTTAATTTTAAGCATGCCAACTTGTTTTTTAAAGTGTGTAATTTTTTAAAGATATTCATCAAATTGAAATTGTTCTGTGTAATTATCAAAACAAAATTGGTTACACGTGTTTTTGATATGTATAATAACTATAATTCCTTGAGATATAGTTATATATATACATTATGCAAAAAACTCAATTTTGGACAGGGTCTTCAGACTCCCCCCTACATATGAAAACTTATGATTGGTTAAGGGTTACCATTATCAATAAATTTATTTGGTTAAGTCAATATTTAGTTCAATAACATTGTTTTTGACTTGCTTAATTTGTTCATTGATATTGTGCATTCTTTGCACCTGCCATTTCACACAATTAAGTTATCCTACTACAATAAATTTAAAATATTACTGATATGTTATTAAAAGAAAAAATAACTAATCAATTAATTGTGGTACCATTCATTGACTCGATTATTTTTTATTTGTATCAAGAAACTTACTTGTTAATAAAATAAATGCCATAATTTCCATTGTCAGTGATCTATAAGATTCTAAAAGCTGTGCATATGCAATAATTCTCATTCAAGTACAATGAATCTTTGAAGAGAAAAAGATATCTTGACGTGAGAAGATGAATACTTCCCACCTCAGCTATTATTAATATATAAATAATATCATAATTATTTAATTATTTTTGACTAATCATTTAGTTTGAGAAATCATCGTATTATTATAATTAACTTACGAAGTGAAAAAAAAGAATTTTGCATATTCATAATTGTAAAGTAACACATTCAAAATGGGGAATTTCACCTAATATATACACTTCCAAAACTTCTGGTTAACCAATAGCCAAAGTATAATAATAATAAGCACATTTTATTAATCAAATAAGAATCTCACCTAATAAACAATATCAAAGACAAATTTTAGCACCAACCAAATCATCCATTATGGTCCATTCGGTATTTACCGGCAGAATTTTATTAATAAAGAAAATACAAAAATATCTTATCCGGCCGGATAAGAATTAATGAGAATTAAGGCTAAGCTCAATGAAAAAGAATTTATTATCCGAATAGTAAATACAAAAGACAGTATGAAGCCTGGTTATATATGTAAATAAGATGAGGATTCTGTGATTTATTCAACACCAAGTGAGGTTATCTGGACCGTGTGTTTTGGGCTTTGATGATGAAATATTTGTTGAACAATCGTGGGTAGGCGTTTTATTTTTTCTAATAGTATTACAATTTTTGTAGCAAGAAGAATCGAATTTTTCCAATATCCAAATCAAAAAAGTTTTTTTTTTCTTTAGTAATATTAAATACATGGGTGATTGATTATATTTACAAATTAAGGCTACAAATCAATGAAATTCGAACACCTAATTTTTGAATTCGAATCGTATCCGAACCGAATTGTACTTTTGATTTGATTTTGAACTGATTCGAATCTATAGCAATCATTATCATTCATTAGTTATATTTATTATGAATTTATTGTACTTTTTTCATTTAGTGATGATGATGGTCGAAACTACCTTACTTGGTAGTAATAATCATTTTTGCATTTTTTTTTAATTTAGACGTCTTATATTGAATTGGAAGATGTTTCTATATCATATGATCTATATTCCTTGCTAACAGGATATTGAATGAGCATATGCACGTTTCGAGAATGTAATGACCTAAAGAATATTTCATAATACTTTGTTGACTGGGTATTTTAAAAAGAATAAATTATTGTTAGCAAATTTCTTATTGAAAAGACAAATATAACTTTTAGTACTGGATTTATACATCCAGTAGAAAAGAAACAAATCGCAGAACAAGAAGCCGAACGACGAGCAAAATCTATAGTTGAAAAGGTTATTCATTCAATAATTTTAAATTTTTAGAAAACATCTATTATTTTGCAGAGGGAAAGTAGAAGCTGCCGATATAATTGTAAGAGCAGCTGATAAAGCAAGCGAAAGATTAGTACAATTACGTGATATAGAAGCATCTAAAGAAAAATGTCCAATTCACAAAACATGATGTATTTACCTGTTGGTACACAAGGTGGTGATGAACCCAATTTATTATTAAATTTAGGTGTTTAAAATGAAAGTTAAAGATTGATTAATTAATGCTTGTGGAAATTGAACTAATGAAATACAATCAATATACAAAATTAGAATGATGATTAATATTATGTTTAAACATTATCTATTCAAATTCCTTTTTATTATATTATCATCCATACTACATTCAATTAATGTATCATGACATTTTGAAAATATTTCATTTTTAAAAATTTTTGTTTCTTCAAGTGTCAAACATCCCAGAACATATTTTTGTACATTTTCTGGATCTCTGTCATCATCATATGTTTTAGGTCTGCCTATACCTACTCTTAATCTACAAAATTTCTATATATATATATATATAAATCAGTTAAAAGAACCTGAAATAAAATGGACAAGGTGAAATGAGAATTTACCTCAGTCTGAAGACATCGAATGACTGATTTAATTCCATTATGTCCACTAAAAATATATATATTATTATAAGTTTTCTATATTTAAAAAATAAAATTAAAATTAAAATTAAAATAAATTACTTTGAACTTCCACCAAATTTTAAACTAATTTTCCCAAGTTCACGTTCCATATCATCATGAATTACTATTATATTTGATGGTGACATTCCAAAATGCTTTACTGTAGAATTTTTACATTTATGGAAAAGAAAATATGCAAGATTGGTGATGTTTTTAAAAATCCACAAGGTAAATTAAACAAATATTATATTATAATAATAATAACAATAATGATCAAATCTATTCAAACAAGACAAATAAATATATACCTGCTTTTGCTATACATTTGCCAGAAATATTCATCAATAATAGAGGTTTAAATAAAACAATTTCAATTGGAATATAGTTATTATTACTTTGATCTAATGATGACGATGATTTTGGTGAATTTTCTATACCAACTGATGCAATAGTAGTAGGTGATATTGATTTTTCTGTACTAGATTTTATTTCATCATTTTTTAGTTTTTGATCTGTATTTTGTTGTTTCAAATCACTACCATCATCACTACCCTTACTACTCTTCTTTAATTTATTATTATTTATTAATTTTGATGATTTAGGTTCAGCATATATGATTGTTTTTGCAAATTCACCAGGAAAGCTGGCATCCTTAAACCACGTCAAATTTTTCAAATCTGCAATATGATCCATTACTTGCATTCCAATACTATGTCTAGTCTTTAAATATTTGTGATTACCTAAACCAATAAACTAGTAATGATCATTTTGATTATTAAAGAAATTATTATTTTATAAAGGAAAAAAAATAATGAATGAAATTTACCATAACTTTTTTAAACATGTTTTCCTTTAATTTAAAATTTAATCTAATATTAAAGAATTATAAATGTGTCACACAACAAATTATTAATTGATAGATAAACTTACTTAAGTTCTTTGCTCGCCATTAAAAAAAAAATATTAGTAAACTCAATAAACTTGTAAATGATTTAAAAAAATTATTGAATGAGTCAAATTCATATAATGTGGGTGGACCAGGATGTTAAAACTTTTAAGGCTCATTCATTCTATTATTTTAACCCTATTTTTAGGTAATTGGGTATATTATTTTATTTGAAAAAGAAAATATTCCTCCGAAGCTCTTGAGATTGATTATCTTTTTATTATTACGACTTTTACGTAAAATAATATATAATATTTTTTAAAGATATATTTACAATGGAATTATTAATATAGATAATCTGGAAGCAGATGAAATTTTTGAATGGATTATTTTAATGAATTGATTGATATTTCCAAAATTATTTAATTAAAGAAATAGAGAATGGATTTGAAAAAATTACTCCCAAGATCATTTTATGGAATTAGTTAGTAAAATCCAGAATTATTTTAAAATTGCAGCTATTGAAAAATCAATGCTTATGTCTATCTATATTTAAAAGACAAGATTTAGGAATATAAACGTGAAAGTATTGAATGGACAATTTGTCGATTTTGGTTTGGATCTACAACCAACGATCAATTTGGAATGATGTTATTCAATGGTGAATGAAACAATTGAAAGAAGAAAAGTTTATTTCAGTCAGAGTGGGAAATTTCAAAGAATTAAAGAAAACATTAAAAGGTTTCATATCATTAATTAGATCTGATTTTAATGAAAAATCAAACCTCAGAAAGAAGTTATTAATATAAAAGTATATGAAGGATTTCTTCAACATCATTATCTTTGGTAAATAGTAGCTAAGAAAAAGGTCCATGGACAAGTGAAAGATATTTTACAATTTGAATTAATAAACAAGTGACCTTATATAATGATAAAAATATTTCATCATATGGCTTTGAACCAATTCTTCATGGATCTCATGATAGGTTTTCTAGGTCAGTTTGCAAGGAAAAATGTTTCAATACAGTAGCTATTATGAAATTAAAGAAACATGAGAATTAGTTGGTAATCATATAATCCAGCCTGTTAGAATAAAAAATGAGAATTTTCAGTTGCAGATTTTACATTGAATGAAAAAGATAAAAGTTTTAAAAATTAATGAAATAACTCAATGCTGAATGGAGTCAAAATATCTGAATTTATGAACATCAAGATTTTAAATGTAGTAGTTATTATTGTCATTGGGATTACTTTTAAATTGTAAAAATAAATGTAAACTTTTTGAAGTCTAAAAATAGTAAAGAAAATATATATTTACAGACTGTGAAAACCAATTCACAAGTAGAATCCAACAAAAAATTTTTTTGGGTATTTTATTATCTTCTCTTTATAAATTACAAGTTGCACAAATTTATTTGATTTTGCAAATTCGAATAAACTTTATTTTCATTATTTTCATTGAAAAAAAAAAAAAAAAAAAAAAGATGGTAATTAAATTCCTGTCAATAAATTAATTAACTCTTTTATATTGGCCACTAATACCCATTAATAAAATATAATTAGGAAGAAAGTTTAATATCTGAAGCAGCCCCACATGGTATTTCTGAACCTTTAGAACCAGACGTTGATCCAAACCAAGAAACATCAGATCTTAAAGATATTAAAAAAACAACGATCTCTAATATCACTACAACTACCAATATTACCGATGACACAACACCAGCAACAATAGAGGTCACAACAGAGGATACAACCACCACCACAACAGGAACAGTAAAAGAAGAAGCAACAACAACTACAAATGCTGCCAATCAAAGCATTTGGAAACAATCGAGGTAAAAAAATTGATTTTAGAGTAAAGTTAAATTTTTGGACCAATCAGTCAGCTAATCAATTATATAAATATTTATTATCCCTCCCTCTTTAGTCATCCAATTGCTTTATTTTTCCATTTATTTTTTCGAATATCAGCAATGGCAGTGTATCTTTTTGGCTATTTGATAATACAAAACTTCCCATTGATCTTTATAATCTGCGTATTATTATTATCATTTGATTTTTGGACAGTGAAAAATGTAACTGGCAGATTATTGGTTGGATTAAGATGGTGGAATGATATCCAAGAGGATGGAACAAACGTTTGGAAATTTGAAAGTCACGATGTAAGTGTTTGATTAAAATTTAAAATTGCTAGCGTCAACCTAATTAACAATAGTTTTTCCCATCATTCAATTTTTCTACTCACTTTTTTTCTTATATTTATACAAATAGCCAACAAAACCGACTAATCCAACAGACTCACGCGTATTTTGGTTTTCACTTTATTTAACATTGGTATTATGGTTGATATTTGCATTTTTGTCCTTATTTCAGCCTAGTTGGTGGTTAATAGTGGCGGTTGCATTGGTGTTGAATACAGCTAATGTAATTGGGTATACTCAATGTGACAAAGATGCAAAGCGTAGATGGGCAAGTAATTTGGCTGCTAGAGCTGCCTCTGAAAATCCAAGCCTTGTAGGAAGATTGTTTTCTGCTGGAGTTGGAAAATTTTTTAGTTAATATTTTCATGTAAACTAGTTTTTTAATTTTGTTTTTTGTACATAAATAAATATACATGACTATATATATGAATGTATATTATATATATATATTTATCTATATAGATTATATTGTATTTAATAATAATTATATACATATTATTACACTGGAAAAAAGTCACGCGTGATATTTAATAACTTTGTAAAGAAAAAAAAATTTCAACTTAAAGAATATAAAAATTTTTTACTTACTAAAATTTCTCTTTAATAATATTTTTTTTTCCTATATAAATATATAATATTATATATTTAATTGAATTAGAATATAATATAATATAATATAATATAATATAATATAATATAATGAATAAAATATGAGAGAAAAATCTTTCTAATACAATAACAAATTTTTTGAATAAGATATATTTTTTTATTTTAAAAAAACAAAACATCTTTATTATATAATTAATTAAACCTCAAATCTATATTATATCTATATACATATATATGTATGTACATACATACATACATACACATACGTGTATATTTAACTCACCATAAATATATAATATACATATACTAAAATTTGAATTCTTTATATTTCTTAGATCCTGTATTACCAGTGGATCCAGTATCTCTAGCAGCTGCTCTTGCATCTTGCATTTTTTGTCTCTTTTTAGCTTGTTTACTAGCATGTTCTGCGACCATGTCTGACAAATCTTCATGCGCTCCTTCAGGTTGATGTGCCTAATTTTCAAATTAATTATGAGTAATCACGAACAAGCACAAGTAAAATTTCATATTTTATAATTATTTACCTGTTGAGCTTCTTCAAATTTAGCTCTTAAAGTTTCTTCATCCAAATTTGCCATCTCAGAAGGGTCAAGCGCCACTTCAACACCAGTTCCTATTACTTTTCTCTTTTTTTTTTTTTAAAAAAAAATTTTTTTAATAAGTTATTTATTATAAATATTATAAATAATAATAAATATGATAATTATTATTATTAGTCAACCTTTGCTCCTTTGGATGTTGCTGCAGTTGATCCTGCCGTGTTAGAAATATCGTATACGTGTTGAGATCCCATAAACCCTGAAATAGGGACTTCTTTTTGTGGAATAACAGTAAACAATTGTTTGGTTTCCTCTTCATCAGGTCTACAACAATCATCATTATCATCAGTAATCAATTAATTAATATTAAATCTATCCATTAATTAAAAAAAAAATTTTTTTTCAAAATGAACATACTTTTGATGTTTCCTTAATTCAATAAAGTCAGGTGTTTCCAATCCACTTGCCAAACTAGCATTTATTGCTGACGATGATGTAGTGGTTGCTGGCGTAGCTTGGAATTTTCTCAATTCAATATAATCAGGTGTTTGTAAACCATTCGGTACACTTGAAAATCCACTTGGCGTTACAAGTCCCTCTTGTAATGCTTTTGATGTGACACTCTCATCTTCTACTGCCACTTCCTCCTCCTCCTCCTCCTCCTCCTCCTCTTCTGATTCTAAATAAAATTGTTATATATAGGCATTATATATTTTATATGTATATACATATGTGTGCGTGTGTGTTCAGATATATACCTTCTTCTTCAGGTTCCAGCTCTCCCCATAATTTTCTTTCAATTGGTTGAACATTCTATAATATTAAAAAAATTAAAAAATAAATAAATGAACAATATGGATAAAAAATGAATTATAAATATGTGTATAAATGTAATAATTGACCTCAGATGGTATGTCTTGATGATATGTTCCGAAAACATCTCCATACAATGGACGATTATACTAAATTTTAATAATTTGTTTTTTAAAGTAAGTTTCTTTCTATATAAATAGTTGAAAAAATAATATATTAATTACCTCATCCACAGGTGGTTTGCCCCATCCTCCAGGATGAAATCCCCATTGTGCACTTTTAATATAAATACATTATTTGTTATTTTTTTCAATAAAAAAAAATATTATTATTACTATAATTACCCTTCAGGAATCGGAGCATTAAGCCCTGGAATTTTTAGATTAGGATAACTTGGTGGTGGACCATAACGTTGCATAGCAATTAACCATGGTGGTGGGGCAAGTGGTGGCATATTCAATGCAGCCTTTAATTCATCTGAAAGTTGTCCTGGCTTCTTTTCTTTTAATTTCGTCTCAAACTCTTTACCTTCATAATACCTTCATATATGTATAGATATCAATTATAATCCCTTATCAGTCAGTATTATTAAATTTAAGAAATTAAAAATTTGCTTACAATTCACCATGAATTGTCAACTTTGGTTTAGTTTGAAATCTGAAAAACGCATCATGTAATTTCTGATAATCAATATCTAATTTTCCCATTTTTGGTTGAACTCTTTCACGAGTTTTTTGCTTTAATTTCGCTGCATCTTCTTTTTCTCTTACCGCTTCTCTCATTTCCATTATACCAGTATCCTTTATAAATTCTACAATAATATGAATAAAATAAAACTATTACAAATATATCATATATCAATATATATAAAGTATGTGTATACATTTGTGTATACCTGGCAAATCAAACGCGGGTTTTTCTATTCCTCTTTTTCCTTGAAGATATTTTCTTTTTTGAGACCAATGTTGAGGAACGGGCACAGTATTCCTATAAGCTTTTAAACTGACCAAAAGCTTTGGATCAGCTGCTGTAACATCAACCCACTATATTGTGATTTTTATAATATAATATAATTAATTAATTAAAATAAAAATATTTACTGAAAAATTTTCTAAAATATACCTCGACAACTTCAGGTCTTTTAACTAATTGTTTTAATTGAGCAACACTTAATCTATTTAATTTCTTTAGTTTCTTTTTCGATATTTTATCTTGTTTATCTTCATCTAAATCTGCATTTGATTCTTCATCTGATGGATTTTTGATTTTTGACTCATTTTGTGGGTTTATAGTTTCAGCCTTTTCTTCGTCTCTATCATTATTTAAATTAACCTCGGGTACCTATACACACACACATACATATATATATTATATTATCTCTTAAAGTTTAGTAATTGTATTTTTTATTTCTATCATTAATAAATTAAAAAATAATAATTATAATCCTTTTTTTTATTTGCTTCTTAGCTGATAGGAAAGAAAGGAAAGAGTAGATATATAGATAGCTCAAGAATAAAATATTTATTAAATGGTGTGATTTTAACAACAGTAAAGATACCTCAGGTTCTTCTTTCGTGATCTGAAAATGGGCAAAAACCTTTGAGAATTCTTCAAAGAAAGGTTCGTTAGATAGATCCGGGAGTTCTGATACATACTCAATTTCCACACTGTCAGTTTCGTCAACTTCTGTCTTTTTATTTAGGGAAATAGTTGTCGTATTCGATTGAACCATCATGGTGAAGAAAAAATTTTTTTTTGGTAATAATTATGATGTAACCTGTCAAATATAGGTCAGTTATTCAATATTAATATTTTATTGGGCGGGTGTCCCACATCGTATGATTTACAAACATCGAGCAAGGTCCCGGGATCCTGTCGAGCATATATTAATATAAATTTTTATATATGGTGGACGATCATATAAAGGCATCACCAAACATAGTAATAGCAGTCGCGGATCGATTTTAGCACGAAAATTATTGTTGCACTTCTGAGCATAACTTTCAAATTTAAAAAATCTATGAAAAAGAAAATTTGAGACAAATTTTTTTTATAGATTAATAGACTCCCTTTTTTAAAGCTGAATTGAATGGTGGTATGTTTTTTAAAATCCAATGTGTGGATCACATAATATTTTAACTTTTGAGTATAGATGATCCGCACTGTACTACTATTATTATTATTACAGTATTATTATTATTATTATGAAATTTGACCCCTGTAATTTTAAAATTCTAAATAAATTAATAACTTATAAATAACTATAAATCAGTCCCTTATAATTAAAAGCAAAATTTTTCTAACACAACCTTCCATGTAGTTATAAGTGACTTTCTAGGGAACACTTTGGTACAACTGCTGCTTTAGTCTGCATACTAGTTGAGCAATAATCTTAAAATAAGTGTGAAGAAAAGAAACACTTATGACCTGGCATAGAATAACAAATATTTAAGCTAGCCTTTTCTTTTAACTGTTGTTAAAAGTCCCAGTCTGGCTCTAAAAATTTTATTATTGTTGAAAATTGCTTGCTATATGAAAAACTGAGATTTTTTTTTGAAGTGGTAATAATTTTATTTGTGTAATGTTTATATTGAAGTGACACTTGATCTGCAATGTTCCGGAGATTCTATTTATGTCACTATTTGATGATCGCTGTGATAAATTTAATTTATGTTGTACAACATAAGTTCATAATTGTTTAAAGTACAGTGGATGACAGTAAAAGCCATCAAATATTATTGGCTTATCAAAATGGTATATGCTCCTCAGGGATGATCATTTTTAGAAGTCTGGGAATAATTTGTTGCAGCCAGATTTTTTATTTAAGCTTACTAGCAAATAGTGTTCCATGTCGCAATCCAAAAAAGGAAACCAAAGTGGTTGCAAAGTGGTTGCAACCAGGTGTCACAAACCATTTTTATATGTTGCAAATATGGTTGCAACCATCACCAAGAATTGCGACCAGCATCTATACCACTCATCAAGTTTATAAAGGTAATATTGGTAAAAAATCTTAGCTTTGAAATAAAAAGTAATGCTGTTTTGAATAAACATAGCTTTACATAGAGAGCCTCTATCAATATGGGAGAGGGCTCATTAGAAAGCTATAATGCTATAGTTTTATTTCTGATTAATAATAATGTTTGTATTTGTTATAAAAATAATGAGATATTTAAAAAAACTGATTTGTTACATAAGTTGGATTTTCTATTTTATATATATGTAATTACACTATTGTTTGTTGACATGATTGAATTTTTATTTTTATTTTAATTTTTTTTTTGGAAAAATAATTTATCTTTACAAGATGAAAGAAGGCGTGAACATTGTGTTCAGTATGGCTTGCTCTAAAGAAGACATGTTATTTATTGATGGCAAGAGGTACTATAGATGCTGGTCATAATTCTTGGTGATGGTTGCAACCATATTTGCAACATACAAAAATGGTTTGCGACACCTGGTTGCAACCACCTTTGCAACCACTTTGGTTTCCTTTTTTGGATTGCAACATGGAACACTAAGAGGTACACTATTTTTTTGGTTGCATTGTTTTTATTATTTTAATTGTTTTTATAAATATTGATATGTATTGATTCTTTTGTGTATATATTATTGCAAAATCAAACTATGGAAGCAGATCTTGTAGTGTCTTGGGTATTTATTACAAGATTCTATATCATGATAAATGATTGGTATCTTTTTATTTTTTGTAATCAACATTAATATTAAAATAATAAGAAAATGTCAAGGTGATACAAGGAAGGGAAATGATTTGATATGTGACATTTTTACAATTGTACACTTCACAAATGTCATGGCACACATGACACTACCTTAGCACATTACAGTTATTCTCACATTCCTTGTGTACACAAGGCTAATCTTGACTTGAAGACCTAAAGATACAATGAATGCAATAGAATTCCAGAAGACACATGTGTCTGGAGTTTATTGAGATTGCATCAATCTTCAATGACACTTTTCACTAATCTTCCCTCACCAGAGAAGGCTGCTAACATGCTAGCCAAAGTTTACTGCAACGATCCTACTACCTCAAGGGTAAAGATGAAGATGGTTGGCTATGCAACTGAAAAGTTGTGCAACTCTGGAGTTGGTGCAGTCTGGGTTGAAGAGTAGTGATATTAGGTGTAGATCAACAACATCTAGATTCATCAAGGCAATAAGAAATTGCAGCAACTTGTTTCAAGCTCAGGCAGGAATTTGTGATACAGGATGGGATTGGGGACTCTGAAAATCGCATTTGTGCTCTCTGATGTTAAGAGGAAAGTTATAAAATAGTTTTTGTTCTAATGATTTTCTTAAATTATCTGCTTTTCTGATACTAACACAAATTTATAATTTTGGGAGGGGACATCATGGGCTTTTTGCCTAAATGATCCCTTCCCCTATAGATTAAAATTATATGGTAATATCTTTGTCAGCTAAATGCCAATACTGATCCCTGACATCAAGGTGGAATTTTTGCACTTCTTTCAGAAAGTGCCAAGAAAAAAGTAATAAAACTGGCAGGATTTTGGTATGTTCTGTACAAATTAATTGTTTTTTGAAATTTCTTGGTTATTTTTAATTTGGTTAACCAAATTTAGTGATGTTAATCATTTGACTATATTCGGATAAACATTCGAATATTCGGTACTACATATCGAATTAGGAATGATCATCATAACAAATAAATTTCCTGACCACAAGTGTTAAGTGAAAAAGATGTTTTCAAATTATGAAATATTTATTACAGAACAGAATTTTTTTATAAAAGAAATAATTTACATTAATTTTCTGCTTATATCTTATAAGCAAATCCCAAAATGTTAATATGAAATTTTAATTAAATGGATGATTGATTGTTTTTTCACTTGATGTTAACCTTTTCTTTTAAAATTAGTTACATGAAATAAAAATTCGAACATATATATAGTAATAATAAAACTAAAACAAAGAGGCTAGGTCACATGCCCGAAACACGATTGGACGGCACTCCGATAAATCCCGTTTTATTTATTATTATTATTATTATTATTATTATTATTATTATGTACGTTTTTTTTAATAATTTTTTGCCATGTATATTTAACAAAATTATTAATAAATTTATTTTATTTAATAAATTTTCTTAATTTAAAAAATAATAAGTTCATTAAATTTAAAACTAAAATATTTAAGAAACAACAAATTGATTAAAAATATATAAATTGATTAAAAATATAAATTGATTAAAATTTTAAAATCAATCAAAAATAGAAATGGACTCCATATTTCATTTCAAAAACAAAAGATTTGAAACTAGATTTGATGATAGTCTATTTCTTTTAGGTGTTATGTGGTTTCCTACATCAGAAAACAATCTTTCAGATGGAACTGAAGTTGCGCTTAAACACAAATACTTGTTTGCTAATATTGCAAGCATTGGCAATTCATCTTGTCTATCTTTCCACCAACCAAGTGGATCAACATTACCTGCTACATTTGACATATTTAAATATTTGGTTAATTCATCTTCTTCTTGTTGTTGTGGAACATCAAACAAATCATCAAATATAGTTTTTTGTAATGGATTTTGGTGAGTTAATGCAATTGTTGACCTTCTTGAAGTATTTGATAAATTTTCTTGGTTGGCATCTTTCAATGATTGGATGATATTAGATAGTATTTGATATGTTACATCACGTCATTCAGGTGCAAATCTTAAATCTTTAAATCTAGGATCTAAAGCTGAAGCCAGATAGCCAAGTGCTGATGTTTGCATTGACCAATAATTTATCAAGGAATTATACAGAGCTTTAATGACTTTATCTTTTAAGTTAGCTGTATTTATGGGCACTGAAATTCTTAATCTCCTTTTATGTCTTTCACCATTTGATAATTCTTCAAGGATTTCTATTTCTTCTGTATTACCTACATATGGTTAATTTGAATTTCATGCATACAAATTTAAAATCACAACAACTCATACAACAATGTGTATAAAATATATTTATTTAATTACCTTCTGTTTCCATAAAAGCATTATCAATACTTTCATCAACATCATTGTCATCATTGTCATCATTATCATCATTATTTAGTCCAACAAAAATTTCATTACTATTGGCAGGTGGTATGAATTCGTCAAAAGATTCAAAATTATCATTATTATCTGAAATTTGTAATTGGAGTTTTTTAATTAAGTGTGATATGGCAGGATAGACTAAAGATAATGTTACAAAACTATTGCCACTTAATGTTGTTGTTATATCATTAAAGTCTTTTAATATCAACACTAATTCTTTAATTAATGTCCATTATTGATGATTTTCTTCAATCTTTTAGCATCATACTTAGTATCTCTATCACTTTCAAATTGCATTCTATTGATCAATTCTTTAATGGCATCCCTTAAATCAAGTAAATGAACCCATGCTTTATAAGTGGAATTCCATCGAGTTTTTACATCCAGTATTGGTTTGAGAATATGAGGATAATTTAATTGTCTTTGAACTTCTCCAAGCCTTTCCCATTGTTTTGGTGATTTAAAAAATAAAATCAATCTTCTAGCTCTTAATATTAAAATTTCAATGTTATCATTTATTTTTAACCCTTTTTAACTGATAGCTGAAGTGTGTGTGCAGCACATGGGATTCTTTCAACTTCCATTACTTCACCTAAAAGTCTAATTGATCTTGTCATATTACTACCATTGTCTGTTGCAATTGCAATAATTTTTTCATTTAAGCC